GTGCATAATGCAATCCTGCTTCTCTATCAGTGGTGTGGAGGTGCCATGAAAACCAACTGAGGTATAACTTGCATAGAGCAGAGCTGTGGGTGAATTATGAAAGTAATTCCCCGGCAAGTAATTATTTCTCTCCTCATACACTTCAGTCATCACGGGTGCAGGGGAAATTTCAGTGGAATATAACAGACACTCTCTTGGCCTCAGCCAGCAGAATGGTAGAACGCTTCCGCTAAACAGCGGAGATTCTTGTTTACACCCATTAATAAGATCTTCTGCATTAATGAATTGCATTCATGCTGTCATCCATTAAGAAGCTACTTTGAGGTCTTTCTCTGCTCAAAACTCTAGCTTCTCCTGATGACTCTATTGTTATACAGCCCATAAATAAAACAAGTATTTTCCCTTCATATTTGAGGTCTGCAATTAAATCTGCTAAATGGACTGCAGATGCATAGTTTACAGTAAGCGATTCATCTTGGAAGATCATGGAAATGTCGAAGTCACCACAATGAAGTGGCATAGTTGTCAAATTAGGACAATTTCAGAGAATAACAAACACCAGAATTCTCATTGATGCGAGACAACCTTCTCCCTGACTGTGGCCAGTGGTAAAGAGCTAAACCCTGATGTAAGAAAGCCTGTATTCCACAGAAGTTATGATCTTATTCTAATTTATCAAATGAGAAATTGCATTTCCTGAAAGAACGGTATGTAGTGAGATGATACGGTAGCTAGCAGATGCTTGCTACTAAGTACAGCCTCCAACATGCTAAACGTCAGAGAGGGAAAGGACTCACTTAAGGAAAGGAGAAGTTCTGTTGTATTTACTGATAAGAGAATATTTGATAGAAGCAAAGAAATACCATCCAGTGACAATATACTCTTCTCTGGAACAGTCAATGCTCTGAATTACAGTTCTGATAGTTATTGTATAGCCGGCCTGCTTTCTTCACAGGACTTCACACTATTTGTGGTGGTAATACCATCCCTTTGAGGAGAAAAAAAAATATCTCAGTTTCAGAGGCAGCAGGGTTCATTTGTCATAGTGCTTAGGGAGGACAGCTTTCTATTCATTCACCAGAGCAGACCTAGTCCTATGCTCCAACAACATCTCCCATTGACCTAGAAGTGGCACATGTGGGATTCAGATGCACGTTGCCTGTTGAGTTTCACAGCTACACAAAGCATGAAGCAAACCTACAGTGCACTGCAGAGTCCTTTCAAAACCAAAGTTGCGAGCTCAGTCCCTACACCCTGCTAGGCTGTTCTGAGATTTCTTGTCTCTACTAGACCAACTTCATCATCAACTATTATATCTTTATACGACAAATTAGATCCAGGAGCCATGTGCCCTAGACACTTTATGCAGCACTGGAAATCTGGGTCTGGAGCCAAGCAATCAAAGTCAGAGAAGGAGAAAGAGAGTTATTAGTTTCTTTACATAAGACAGAGAACTCTCAGGTGGCAGAATAAAAACAGTCCCTGAGAGCATAAAATAATTATTAATTAGTTACATCACCATCATCAGTTGTTATTCACTGTATTGATTTTAATTGTCTCCTTCTAAAACATCAGTCAAATATTACTCACCGACACCAACAAAGTCTTGGCTCACAAACCGAACAAAGCACATTGTGTCTCCTCAAAAGAATAAGATAACAACCTAGACTTCCCAGTAGCATGTGATGTGCTGAGAGTGCTCATTTTTCTGCAGGCAGCTTTTACAGCCTTACTGAAGAGTATAATTCCCTTCACTGGCCAAGATTGCTCTCCCAGTGGTGGGAATACATACCAATTTACGGGATCGACATAGAGGGGCTGAATTTAATTTGACATTTACGTAGAAGAAAGTGGTATCATGCAGCCATTGTTAATGAAAAGATGGTTTGATTCTGGAGCAACGGGTTTACTTTCAAAAGCAAAAAGAATTCCTAGTAGTTTCAAAGCATGGTCAACACAAGAGGTACCAGAAAGAGGTCTTGATCATTTCACTTTTTGATTAAACTTGTGAAATCTTGGAAAACCTTACTACTTGCTGAATTTCTCCTTATCCAATCAATAAAGAAAATGAACAGCTCAGAATTTTATGCCCTGTACTGAGTTTGATGAGATTTCAGGTGGCATAAAAGCCCTAGGCCCTCAGAATCACTGTGTCATTCCTGTTGCCATTTCTGCTGCAAAATGCAACTGGATTCTCAAGGGAGAGGCTTAGGTCTTTTCATTAAGACACATGAGGACACTGACTAATGCCCACCTAAAGGTAAAGTTAGTCCTTCTTTGACAGGCCTGAAATGTACAAATCACCTCCTAACTCAAAGGGTGAGATGACAAGGGAGAGTCAAACAAACTGAATTGAGCAAGACAAAGAAGGTCATATGAAGGTTTTATGAACACTGTGTCCCTCCCTGTCTTTTCCTTCCTTCCTTTCCACAACCATTATTTTTTCTTCCAGACTGACATGAACTTTGTTGTGCCCTTACATACATTGGTTTAGATGAACCATCATTCACCTCATGTTTCCAAACCAAAGATAAACAAAATGCAAATCAGGCCTGTGGTACTCTTGGTCCATTCAGAATCTCTAGCAATCATCCTGTTCACCCCTGACAATTAATGAGACCAAAGCTCAAAGTCTTCTGTTCACAGCCCCTACCTCAGCCCAAGCGAATTGCTCTTGGAAAAACAAGGAAAGAACTTGTGGAGGTGAGCCAAGAAAAGAGGATCCAATAGTACATATATAAATACCACAAGAAGGATGTTACAATTACTCGCTGCTTGTATAAATCAAATTTGCCACCCTGTAGAATAAATTCTTCCTCTTTAGCCTGAAAGCTAAAATTTGACATTACTGAGACCTAGCTGCAGAAGAAAAAGATCTCATATCAAAGCAGCTTAGTCTACCAGCTCCTTGCAAGTATAACAAAATTCTAGAAGGCATAGGCAGCTCCACAAAGCTCCTGTTGGGTGGATATCCAGCTATGCAAATCGGAGCTGGATTTCTTAAAATAAAAATATGCAACATTATGGCAATCCTCTTGCATGTATCTGGAGATCTCTAGTACCAGGCAGGAAATATAAACCAGGCATCGCAGCAACTGCATATGTAGCTGACAACATTTACCAAGCAAATACACATGCATTTGATAATGGACCATCCCTTATACAAATGTTAAAAAATCCATATTTACATTTGGAACAAATTTTTCAAGGACACTGACTCTTAGCCTGGGCAGCCAAATGTCTAATAAGTATCTCTTTACAGAGATTCAGGAATAGGATTTTTTCTGCCCCTAGGTTGTAAAACTGCTGTCAAGCAAAAAGGAGCAAATTATTAATTTCTCAATTTAGTGGCTGAGCTGTAAAACCATGAAAAAGAATATCTGAAGGTCTTCCAAATAAATAAAAATTAAAAAAAAAAAAACAACAAATCAAAACAAAACAAAAGCAAAAACAACCAAAAGAAATTCCTCATGGATTACATTTTTCACACATTTTTATTTCATTTTGCTTTGCCTTTACATATTGCCATTATTTTTCTTAAAATTTAGCTACATTTAAACATGGAACAGATGAGAACACCGTATTGATTCATTTAGTTTTGAAAATGCTTAGATGTAGATCTTAAGGAAAAGAAAACTTCTATGTGAAGTTATTCACTGAACACAACCCCATTTCCTCACCTTTTAACCAGCCCAGGACTATATTTACCAATGAACAGTCTTTTTGCCTGAATAATTTCTACTCCAGAGATACTGCTCCTGCACAGTGGAAGAAGCTGAAAGTCTCTGTACTGACACTTCAGGAGCCATAGGGAAGAGATCAAGAGGACTCCCGTAGTCAAACAACTGCTGCCTGCTTACAGGGTTTAGATTGACAGTCATCCTTTCAGTTTAAGGGTTCACGTCACACCTGAGTTGCTTTTCTTGATTAAGAATCACAGGTCCCATACCTATCAAAATAGCAGTAGCTGTATGGTGATTCTGGCTTTAGCATTTTTGGAAGGATGGAAGGGAAGAGGTAACAGGACAGGACACTGGACTTCATGCAAAAGTCAACAGTTCCAAACATTTTCTTCAGGAATGTACCTTGGCAATGCTGATTTAACTGGGAATACTCACTGAGAGCGTGAGGTATGCCAGAGAACATAGTGAGAGGCATTAGAGGACATTTGTGTTCATAGTGGAGGGTCTTAAACTGGGAAACCTTCCACACAAATTATTGCATCACATTGAGGCATAGAGTAAATGTATATGCCACTTTGGGCTTGGCAGTGCTATAAGGCTTTACATCCTATAAATCTATAAATTGAATTCATCCTGCTTACACCCTTAATCTTATAAATTGTTAGACTAGGAACAGCTAATGGATCAGCCGGTGATTTATTTTTAAAAGATGCATACTCCTGCTTTGTGGGAACCGAAAAGGATATGGGCACTGGATGTACCCTTCCTGAAGCCTGGGTCCCAAGTAATGAGGAATTACTTTCTATCCTTCCCCTGTCCCCAGCCACATGCTTTATTCAAGTTCTCAGAGGGAACCTGCTGCTCAAGAAATGTCTGGTATTGTGCAGAGATGTACTGCAAAGGAAACCTCATGCAAAGAACAGATGAGGCATCAGTAACAGTGCCCGGTAATGTATAATGCAAAAGGATACGTATAACTAATTTATTAGTATAAATTTGACTCTTAAAAAAAAAAAAAAAAAAGCATATGCAAAGAAAACCATAAAGGAGTAAACCTTACCTGCCTTGCTCCTTGAGACAAACCTGGACCTCACTAAAATTAACTGAGTAAAATGAAGGAGTTTCACCCCAAATAGTGTTACAGGTTGTAACAGACTTACTCCTGTACTTGCAGCATCAGCCAGTGCAAGTACTGCAAATCCTAACAGAAAGAAGAATCTGTCATTTCCGAGAGGCTTCCCCACTGCCTCAAAGTAGGACCATGCTCGAAAAAGCCACTCTTTGAGCTTATCCCTGAAGTTAAACAAAGTCACTTACCTTTCAGAGAGGCGACATGGGATAAAGCTTGTGCATAGGTGGCTGTGTTGAGAAGAGTCCCCGGTAGGCAGGAAGGGAAGAAAGGTCCTGTAGGACCCACTGCTCGACTCAAGCTGATGGAGAAAAGAACTTCCTTACAAAACCAGACCCAACTGCTTCCAAAGATAGCATTTGTCCATGCACAAGAATACATTGGTTTATCAGTGTCCTGACACTAGATGCAACCAAGCCTGGATAATATTAGCCTCCTACAGCCACCAGGTTCTCAGTACCTGCACAGGAAGCAGTGAGTTGCATGAAAGAGAGTTTATCTTCTTATGATTTGGGCTGAAGATGATGCTGTCTAGAGTCAAGGCTTGGCAAAAGGCAAGTCTGTATGTATGTACATACATATGTATGATGCACATTTGCCCCAAAAAGAGGAAGTTGATAACACATACTCCTACCTCTGCTGAATCTCCAGACTCTCTTTTTTATTCCTGGTTTGATCTGCTGGAGAAGGGGAATTCAAATTCCTCACAGGAGGTGCCACCTCAGCCATTGTTTCCTTGGAGCCCTCTTGGTCGGAAGCACCCCTTTCTGTTTTCCTCCATTTAGCTCTCCGATTTTGGAACCATACCTGGAGCAGGAGAGAAATTGAGGCTGAATACCATGTTTAACTAAATGCAAAGCAAGAAAGTTGTAAATTGTTGCTCTAGTGAATCAGTCATTTAGAAGTGTGGCTAAAACGTGCTCTTATTTTGTGTCTCTTGATATTCTAGTTGATCTTTAGGATTACATTTCTATCTGGAATATTTCTGTGTCTGGAAAACAAGACAGAAATGCCTAAAGACATTTAAAAGGCATGTTAAAAATTGAAAAAGAAAAAAAAGTGAGAGAGATTTCATGTGAACGTGTCAGCAAAACGCATAGATGTGTGTTTACCTTTATGTATGTATTTAATTCTCACTGGTTTCTGTGCTTTAACACATCTAAAAGCCTTTTGTATAAGGATGGGCTTAAATACATATCTAAGCACTCTGCTGAAATCATATATAACCCTTTAAAATGAGCTGCTGCTGGAATGGGAGAGGTCAGAAATTAAAAGGTACATAGTAGGCCATCTTACCCAGACCATTTCCTGGAGAGGACTGATACTGGATGTTACTCCTCTGATGTATTTGTCCAGTCTGCATTTAGAGGACTCAAAAGGCACTAGATACTAATTTTAGAAGATCATCCTGCAGCTTAATACACACCACTTTCCAGAACTTTTTTCCCTGTAATCCAATACAAATATTCACGTTCTTTATTTTATCCCCTGACTTTTAGTACAACACTTTAGGGGTTTTTTACATTTATCTTGAGGCTGATGCTCTGAAAGCACATTATTTGAAGTAGAAAATGCCAAGCCTCTCTCCAGGTCAGGAAATCCACATTTTAATACATGACTTCAAGAATAAGTGAGATTGTTATTATTATTATTCGCCTCCTACAACTCCATTTTAGTTAGCTGCCTTTTAATTGCACGTATCAGCAAACGTTGAATAATGATTTTATCTATATTCTAAATTTAGAGCAGTTAAATGCAAAGCAAAATGCAGACACTTTCTTGTGTCTTAATTGAATGAAGGTCACAGCTATAACAACATTTAATTGAGCTATTTTTCATTATCATATTTTAATGACTTTGCACTGACAGTTCGCCTGCTTCTGAGGAAAGAGCATGATGAAGTCGTTTATTTCCCTATTTAGTTATTGTTTGACAACATCATCTTCGATTAAGACTCCGCTTTATAGCACATTAATCATATTTGAATGAGCAAGGGGTATAAATGTAAACATATCTCACATCCTCTGTGTTTCCCCACGTTCCTGCATGAAAACAGGCTAAACAAATGCTTGCATCTATTGTCTGTTTGCATAATAGCCAACAACAAGGCTAAACACCAGTCCTCAGCAATCTAATTGTCACCACCCCTATCTCACCCTTGCACCTTTCAGGAAGAAGTTATGATCTTCCACTTCTGAATGCCCAATAATTGTCCCATTTATCTCAATTTGCAGTTCAGTCTTTAGGCACCAATAGCCGAAATGGCATTTTTTATTATTTTTTTAAAGCCAGTACCTACAATGCAGTGGCAAAAGGAGATTTTCATTTCCAAATAATAATCAGTTTAATTTGCCCACATATGACCAATGATTCATGTTCAGATTTAATAATCAGGATCGCATAATCTGATTATAGGAGAAATAATTTGTTTACAATCCCCAATTTACTGCAGTGAATTCCATTATCTCTCTTCAGCCACTGGGTTTTAAGAGATACTAACATGACCCTAGGGAACAAAAGGCAAGCTATTATATTTCCTACAATTAGATCTTTGCATTGTCTTAACCCCGAGCACCTAAATAAAAAAAAAAAAAAAAAAAGCGTCGTGCAGAAGAGCTTCATAAATAAAATGAATTCATAATCGTGCTCAAAAAATGGTTTGCAAGTCTGTGGTGGATGCCTGCAGAGTTATAGGGATCCATCTCTGACAGCTGCGGGACTGCTGCTCTTAGCAGAGCTTGTAGACACACAAAATTAATCCCTGCATATGGGAAAACAAACACCTGGATTTAAAAAAAATAAAATAAATAAAAATTGGAGAGCAGGAAGGAAGGGGTGGAAAGAGAGTAATCACGGCCAATGGTGTTTATTGGATCATATTAAAGGTGAGGGAGTTGCTCTGCAGACTCTTTAGCTGTCTAAATTAAGTGTTGAGGAAGAAGGCGAAAGGGAGGAAAGTTGAAAAGGTTCAGGCAGATTTCTTCCTGGCAGCTGGGCTCCCTGCAATTGCCTAACCCCATTGCTCGACAGTGGTCATAGTTGCTTTGGAGAATCACGTCCCAGCTCTTTTCTCCACACACACCCCCCTCCAAAAGCATGGAAATGGATGTGCATTGATGTAATTTAGTACCTTGGAGACGCGGACAAATTAGTGTAGAACATTATCACTAGTTAATTATGAATGACCGATTAATCAACCTAATCTAATATTCCACATTATGTTGATGTTATTAAAGTGCATCATGAAAATGACAGATCGTCTTCATTTGCTTTCTTTGGCCAAATGTGCACTCTGCAGTCATGATGTCAAAAAAAAAAAAAAAAAAAAGTTTGCAGTTTGAATACCCGAGAGTTAAATAATTCCCCAGAATGTTTACCTGCACCCTGGCTTCCGTCAGGTTGATTTTCATAGCCAGCTCTTCCCTAGTGAACACATCGGGGTAGTGGGTTTGAGCAAAAACGGCTTCCAGTGCCTCGAGCTGGTGGAGGGAGAGGAGCAAACATCTGTCAGGGGCAGGAACGCGGGACCCGCCGTCTCGGGGGGCATCTCTCCAGCGGCCCTGCAAGGGATGGGGAAAGCGGGCCCAGCGGGGGGCCGGGGAGTGCGTGTGGCAGGCGGGGAGCGGGTCAGGGTCAGGGAGGAGCAGGCTCCTACCTGCTGCAAGGTGAAGGTGGTGCGGTTGCGGCGCTGCTTCCTCCGCAGGAACCCGTCGTCAAAGTCTCCAGCGGAGTGACCTCCGAAGGGGGCCGCGCCTGCGGAAGGAGAGCAGCGTTAGGGGCCGCAGGGAGCGGAGCCGAAGTCGCAGACGCTCCCTGGGGTGGGGGATGAAGGTCCGGAAGCTGGGGCCACTCCAACGGGACAGGGGGCTCGGAGACGTTCGGAAGAGGGACGAAGGGGGCGGGAAATGCTGCCCCTCCCGAGCACCTCGGAAGCACCGCAGTGGGTGCCCCACCGGGCCGGGGGGCCCTGCAGGCCTGAGCTCATCCAGCCGCGGGTGAGGGGACACAGCGGCCCTTTTCGGGATATTTGAGTTTTAAAAGGAGGAAGAGACGAGGCTGTGACCTGGGCATGGGACAGTTCCTTGAGCTCCTAGAAACCCTGCCTGTCTGCGGGGAGACTAAAGCTTACTTCACAGGAACCTCCTTTTCCTTGCTTGGAAGGAGTGGGACTGGGGCCGTTGGCAGTTTTCTCCCCGCACTCCCACACACACGGCAGAGCCACCACCCATGTGCTCGCCCTCCTCACCGGAGGCGAACCGGTGTTCTTGCCGCGCCGAGCACCGGGGGATGTGGCAGCGCTCAGGAGTCTCGGCCACGGCTGAACTGCCGGGACTCGGCAGCGGGGATGGCGGAGGGAACCCTGCCCTGCCCCGAAGGGGGTTTCGAGGGGCCCAGGGGGACACTGGGGCACTGGGGGTTTATCCGCGGTCGGAGGCCGGCGAAGGGCAGACCGCCCGCCGGGATGCAAACCGCGTGCAGTGGAGCAGTCCCCGGCTTTCGCGGCTCCCTCAGTTACACATCAGCGGTACCCTGGCTGAAATATTCGCTCCCTCTCTGTTCACTGACAGATCAGGGCAAAAAACCCAAACCAAACAAGAAAAAAATTCCAAACCTAAAACGAAACAAAACCAACCATAAACAACGGAACGGAAAAGTACCCAAACCCACAGAAGCGTGGCTGAGTGTCTCCCGGGCCTTACCCGCAGACCTGCCCGGTAGGGAGCGGGCTGGACCGGCCCCGCCGTGGGGCACGGCGGCTGCGGATGGCCACTGATCTTGCAGCATAGTTTAGAAGAGAAACTCTGCCCCCAGTCCCCTCCTCGCACAGACAGACAGCTTTCTGTGGCCCTGGGAGATGCTCATCACAGAATACAATACTATGTCGGTGACCCCCAGAGCCTTGTCACTTCCCTCCGGCACCTCCGGGCCTCCCCGGGTGCCCAAACCCACCGAGAACAATGTCTGAAAAGGGCTTTTCTGTTGCTGCTTCTTCGGTTTGGTGATGGTTGGGTGAGGGTTTTTTGGAGGCAGGATGAGTATATATAGGTTTTCTTTCACTCGGGATGCTCTGTGCTATTTTCTCTTTAGCTGATCAGGTAGCCCCCTCCCGCCGCTTCCCACGCCGGGAAAGCTGGGACCAGCGGCCGGGAGAGGCTGCAGCCTGCGGGGACCGCTCCCCGTCTCGGGCCGCCAAAACCAGGCACCAGCCCCAAACTGCCACCGGAGACATAAACAAACAAGCAAACACACAAACAAGAGCACTTTCCAAAAGCTGCCTGCAGAAAACTAAGGAACAAAGCCTCCGTCGGTGGCACTTGCCGGGAACGGAGGGACCCTGGCACGGCCCTGCCAAGCCCGGCTCCCCCCCGGGACGAGGACAACTTTGGGGAGAGAAGTTTCCGGCCGGCGATGGCAGCCTGGCTTGGGTCTGACGGCCCTGGGCAGCCTTGTTCAACGCGGGGATGCCTCTTCCCGGAGGAGGATGAAACCGCTGAATCACCTCTTCCTGGCAGTGCTACCACGGGGAAAGCCCTTTGCTCGCCGGGTGATGCCCGTGCAAGGAGCGGGGGGGGGGGGGGGGGGGGGGGCGCAGCAGGAGGATTTTACGTGAACAGCCCGCCCGGACCTGAAGTTGAGCGGCCGAGGCTCCGGGGCTGCTCCCGCACTACGAGCACTGGCCGGAGGGAGCGGAGCAGAGGGCCCTGGACATATGGGAGGGCACCAGGAAATTCCGAAGGTGCCGTATTTTTCAAAAATAAACAAATAAAAGAACAAAACCAAATAAATAAACAGACCCCTCTGTCAATAACACAAAGGAAAAAATCCTCCCAAATAGTTATTTTCCACTTGCTTGCTTTTTTTTTTCCCTACAGTCGTGACGCCTCTTTCCCCATCCTCCCGCAGAATGTTTGTAAAATAGCATTAAAGATTTATGCAGTCGCTTTGGCTGGAGGGAGGAGGCGTGACCACGTCCTGAAAGTGTCCCGATTACAGCCATGACACCAACATCTGTGCTGGGAGGGGAGAAACGCATCTCTTTCGTAGCCCGAGGCTCAACTGCGGGATCGCTATCCACAGAGGGGAGGCAGGTGGCAAAATGACTGGGTGGGGGTGTAAAAAACGAGGCCTTTCCAACAGGAATCAAATTAAAGAAGAATAAAAATCATGCAATCCTTTCCATCCTGTTACAAGAAGGGAAAGCTGGACGCGGGGAGGGGGGATAGGGTAGTGTTTTCTCAAGGAGAAAGATGGTGTGCTTTTATATTTATCTTTCTCTATAGATCTGCGTCTTTTCTCAGCACCTATCTGTACCCCGACAACCCTGGACCACACTTTCTCCTTCCACCCACAGCTCACCCACACACACAAGTTCATTTATTGTACCTACACGTCTCTGTGAGACAACACTCACCCTCTAGCTGCGGGGGGCAGTGGAAGTAGAACATGGCCCTGCGGCGGGAGGGACGCCCGCTGCCCGCCGCTGCGAGCCCGACGGCGACCGGGGCCGGGGCCAGCCCTCGAGGCGCGGGGCTTCCGCGCACCCCCCACACCGACACAGCAACACCAGCTCCCCGGCCGGGCACCGCCGAGGTGTCTCCTGCAAACCTGAGGACAGAGAGAGGGGAGAGAACAGAACAGGTGAATAACCAGACACAAGCACCCAGAGAAACTCATTGATAAGCTAAGGTCCCATCCCAGAGGAAGCAGCCTAAGTGGTGTCTAACCCCGTGCTACGAGCTGAAAAAGCCAAAGGCGGAAAACTCCGTGGTAGGTGCACAGTAATCAGAATTAGTAAAACTTTGATGCTTCTGTTTGTTTTTCTCACTTTTTTTCTTTCTTTTTTTTTTCCCTAATAGCAGATTCTCTCTCTCTTGTTTATCTATCTACCTACCTACCTATCCATCCATCCATTAATACATTTATTCATATCTATTTATCTATTTATCTAATTATCTCAGATACTTCTTTCATCAGCAAATAATTACATTAAAAAAATAAATATATAAAAGCAGCAGTTTACAGCTAAGAATAAACCGTTAAAAAAAAAATATTCTGCCTAAATGAAAAAGCAGTAAAACCTAGAAGTGTTCTTCTCGTTAAAGCATCCAGCACACTGGGAGCTGTGTTCAGGTTGGAACCCATGTCCTCGGCAAGGAAAAAGAACAAAATATCAGATTTATATGCAGTCATATAAAAAAAAAATCCAGAAGGCAAATAAAAATCGCAATCCATACCTAAACCGAAGTAAAAATCACCAGTAAGGTCTGGGGGGTATTTTGCACTGGAGTAGCGCTGTGAGTTGTTGGCTGCAGAGACAGAAGGGCTCTGTGGAGTTCTGGAAGTGGCCAGATGTCTTTATATCTGTCTACAGCATGCTCTGCCTCTCAGCACTTGCCTTTATAATCTCACGCATAATTGGCCTTAATCTGATTATTTGCAGCGCTGTCTACAGTGAGTAACTTGGATAGGTCTATTGGGCCCTACAAATGGCCCACGTGGTGTGCAGAGCTGGGGGGGGGGGGGGGGGGGGGGGGGAAGGTAAAAAAAAAAAAAAAGAAAAGAAAAATCCCGTCATTTCTCAGCAATCACTAGGAATGTGAACGGCAGCACCAAAATCCCATTATTTCCTGCGCCTCGGTTCTCCGGGGCTCAGCAGCCCCCGGCGGGTCCCAAATTCCTCACGTCCCCGGGGTGCCCCGGGCTGCAGGTCCGGGAGGTGGGGGTCCTCAGTGCTGTTGCGGTGCCGAGCCAAGCCGTGCCAGTCCTGCCCTGCCGCCTGGACCCCAGCGCTGACAAAGAGGCAGCTAATTGCCGCCGGGTGGGTTTTGGGGGGCCGCTTGCACACGCCTTGCCTTTCCAAGCGATCGTACCGCGGCAAAGTTTGATTTTGTTCACAGCGAGGGGTCTCTGGATTTATGCTCGCTTCCCGTCTGCAAATGATATGCAGCGGGACCCTTTGCAATTACTTTTAAAATGCATCCGAGACATGGGCTCAGCGGAGAGAGATGGCCCTTGCCTCAGCCCGGGTGAAAATTAGACTTTAAAGTACCCAGATGAAATTTTCAAGTCAGGGACGCGGGATTGGATCAAATCACATAAACTGCAAAAAAAGCAAGTATAATGGCGCATAATTGGTTCTGTAATAGCATTACACAAGGATAATAGCCTGTTATGGCCCCCTGCACATTAAGTGCTTCCCTGGCGTAAAGCCTTTATGATATTAAAGGGGGAATATAATGATATTTTGGTTATTAAATGCATGTAATTAATTTATGCACCACTGAAAATAAAGTTGGTATTATGACCCACTCAAGATGCATCAGAAGATGTAAGTCAGACAACTGTTGATAAGTTCTGGTGTCTATGTTTCGTCTAGACTGCTGATTTTATTTTGGAACAATTGCTTCTCCGGCAGACTACACAAATTTAATATTTTATAAACATTGTAATGTTCTGTGCAGGAAGGGCGAGCAAATCTACACAGGCTCTCTTAGATCTGATGGGAGTTTAAAGACATAGCACGTTCATGCCAGAGCAAAGGAGGTGGATACAGATGATAGAGATGCAGAAACAGAGATTTTGAAGAGACCATGTCTTTGTGAAGTTATCCTGCATATATGATCTCATTAAATAAACACTAATAAGCCTTAGAAATATCACCTGCTCTATCTGCCTTTTACACTAGGCATAAATGTGGAAATTCCCCTAATGTATATTCAAGCTGAAGTTATGTTTCAGTCCTGTAAAGCACTATTTTAGCAAAGCAAGGCAAAAATTAATTGTATCTGAGATCCAAATTGATTTGGTTTGATTTTATCTTATCCATTCACCTATAACTTTAGCATACTAGTAACAGATTTAGAAAGCTGCATTCGAATATGGTTTTATATATATACACATAGATATATATATTTGCATCTGTACACATACATAAACGGTTTTGGCTATCTGTTTGACAACAGTGACTTACAATTCAGGCAAGTGTTTGAACAGCAAAGTATAGTTTGAATTGAGACAGCTTTTACAGCACCTTGCAAGATGCAAGACCAATGCTCTGAGTTCAACTGCACTCCTTAAAAAAGCAGCACAAGTCTTTTGTCAATTAACCTTAAAAAGAGGGACATAACCCAGAGGTGCTGTCTGGACCTCCCCTGCCAGCCTTTCCATCCTCAGTTTTAAAATCCACTCAGGACCAGTACGGCAGGACTCCTTTGCCCAGAGACAGATATGTCTTTGCGTTTTCTTTTTTTCTTTTTTTTTTTTTTTCTGACATTGGGAAGAGAGGAGTGAGAGTGTTTTATCATAAGAACCTCTAATAAAATAATAATAACTTTATTATGGTGCTCTCAGGCCTTGCTCTAGTCAGGGGGCTGCATTGCTGCTTTGGCTCCAACACTCACTTTCCCCAGCAGTTTGAAGCCTGCAAGTTCAGCAGGATTGTGGGAGGCAGAGAGGGTGAAATGGAGCACGGGGAAATGCTCCAAGTCGCTGCTTTTTAAACAGAAGCAAAAAGACCCTGAGCTGGGTGCAGCTCAACTTTGTCCCAGGGAGCAGCAGCTGCAAAACAAGGAGATAACTAAGCAATATATAATCTGCCACCCCTCGCCACCCCGGTGCCTGTTTAATTTTAATGCACGAAACGTGGGATTGACATAATTAAAAGTTGGCGCTACGTAGTCTTGGGTGCCGATCTCGGGTGGCCGGAGCCCGGGGCGCCGGCGACGCCTTTCAGAACCATGGAGAGCGCCCTACTGCTCGGCGTAACGGCCAGGAAAGGCCCGGGACGCCACGGCCCGCTGGGGTGTTGCGCGGGGTTAGTCGCTTCTCCGGGGGGAGGCTGTTGTCAGGGACGTTTCTAGGTCTCTCCGTGTAGAAACGCTTTCCTGCCAAGGTGGGACTATAGGCAAAAAAACCCAGAACAGTAAATTGCTTCAGATCATGGCTAGTTATTACTCCGGTAGTTCCGCTCATCTAGCTACCAGAGGCAGGCACTAAAAACAAGCTGTGTCATGAGACAACATATACGTGGAAGATAAAATATTTCAGAAAAAAAAAATATGCAAAGTCCTTAAGATCTTTCTCACATACCTTCTCCTCATCATTATTGTTGCTGCTATTACCATTATTACCATTGCTACTAATATTACCATTATTAAAGCAGCATTAGACACTAGGTCTGCAAAGAAAAGTCCCAGTAAACATAACTTCGGATAGACATTTTGCTGATTGTGCCTGTCTTACAGCAGAACTGTTCCTGTGTTGCACACACAAACAACACATCTTCTTATTTCCCCGCAATGACAATAAAACCTAGGACTGAACTGATGAACAAAATGGATGAACTGAATGGATGTTTTCCTTGAGAGCACTCAGTTTTGAGGGAATCATTTGTAAACCTCAAGGAAGTCTGAATGGCTCAAGTTTGATGAAACGGCTTTCTTGCCTTTCCATGTCCAAACACTTTCCTTTCCCATGATTCTTAATACCTGACCACAAAAAACGGCTAACATCTAAAAGGTTATTTTACCCTAATTCATGTGCAGTAAAATGTATTTTCTAATTAACCAAATTTGCCGATTTGTCCCGCTTGGACTCTCTTATAATTTATAATGTAAAAGTGTTCTTTCTTTATCTAAAGACCAAGGTGACTGCTTTTAATTTTCTGTAACCTCTTTACACTTGATGTTCACCAAACTCATAATGTTAATTGGCTTCATATACGGATCATCAGTTTAATGAAGGAATAAATCCTATGTTGCTTTATGTCCCTCTGTTTTAACAATGATTGCTTTAATGAAGAATGTGACATGTTTGAAATCAAAGCTGCAGGAGACATTAGAGAGGATTTTTTATGATGACTGAAATGCTTATTTAAAGCTAAAACCATGAGGTTTCCATATTTCAAAAGCTTTTCTTTAAATGATTTTCAATGGAAAATACTGACATATTCTTCAGCAAATAACTTTTTCTTTGTAATTTCATGAGCAGAGACTGAGAATAACTCTGTTTTGTAATATAAATATCTCAATTAGTTAATGAAAATATCTGTGAGCTGACTTTAGAACACTGCAGTTTTCATTCTGAGTTTGAGTAAAACTAGTGAGATAAAAGGGGTTATGTCTGCCTAAATAAGGAGTATTTAGGAGTAGCTAATACACCTCTTTGTCAAGCTACTGTATTTTCATTGTTCATGTGTAGATGGAGAAAATTATAGGGGAGAAAGAATTGTCAGTTCACACACAAAAGCCCTAGATAGCTGTAATCTATTTCTCCCCATGGGGATTTTAGGATTTCAGGAGCAAGGGTAAAATGTAATGAAACACGGGCTTGTAGAGGTAGGTGACTGCAAATCAGAGCATCAATTAGGTCAAGCTGGAAAACATCAATTAGACCCAACTGCATGTGCCGGTTATACTAGCTACAGCAGGTTTAAAATGTACAAAGCAAATGCGTTCTGGTAATTGAACTTTTACGTTCCTGGTCCCACTTATAATGAAAGTAAGCCTTTTTTTAAATCTTTCCCTCTCTTGCTCTCTTTTTTTTTCTTTTTTTCTTTTTTTCTTTTTTGTTTTGTTTTCTCTAATGGAAACTGCATATACTGGACTTTTTTTTTTTTTTTCATTTGTGAGCTGCTGTCTGGACTGATATTACATGATCCTTAGATATGGGAACATGCAACACAGAAGAGGAAAGTCTCTAATCCAAGTCTGGACCAGGGTTGAGCAACCAATAGATTTGGACAGAAATTTCTTGATATGGCAGAGGAAGTGTGTGAGAAGAGAAGAATATTAGCTTATATTACATGCCAATGAGAAATCATTCAGTGTGCCAGGCAGGCCTAACCCCATGACCTCTTGGGTTTATTTTCCCACAAGTGTTATATTAATTCAAACTAGGTCACATCGAGCTTCAGGTAAATGCATACACATCTTCTCCCCCATCTGCCATACAGTATTGTGTGTAAGAGAACTATGTGTTGCCTTTCAGAGCTGGCCAGGACTTCAGTCCTATGGTCAGAACTATATGAACATGCAGAAGACAGCCCATACTTTACCTTCCCTCTCCATGGAGAACAAGAAGGTACCTTGTAGCATCTCTAGTAGCACAGAGGTTTAATCTGTCAGGAGCCCTATTCAATAGCAACAGTTCTCTACCTGGAAGTATGCCTTTACCAAACTTACACCTGGTCCCCACACTGCTTGCCATTTGAAATGATTCGTTGTGCAGGCTGGGACTATGCCAGGATTTGCTGAGGCAAACCAACACTGGGTTTCAGGGGAATTGCTTTGATGAAGATGTCATATAAAGGCTTTTCTTCCCAGATGTGTTTTTTTTCCACTAAAATGAGTCTTCTAACTAAGATCTGTGATAAACAGACTTCCAAGGGAGCAGATGTTATAGTGAGAAAAAGTATTAACATTACTTCAAGGTAGGAAAATAAGAAGTGGAAGATACGATTATTGATATTATTTACCCTGGTCAAGGGCAGAAAAGTGATTTTTTATTGCATAAAAGATGTGCATTGCTACTAGAAGTTTGAGAGCTGTGGAAGTCAGACTTAGAAATTGAAAGATGTACAATATCTCAAATTTAGGTTTGCACATTTTTGGGTACTCCTTATTTTCCCATGGATTTACCAGTTTATTTGGAATTTTCCAGATGCTTGGAACTCTTCAGGAACTGGCCTTTGAATGTATATCAGTCGTATTACTGTTTATTCCTCCTTGTTCTGCGAGAATATATTTGGGAACAGTATAATATTCTCAGAAATAGCTGCCCAGTTCTAGATTCATGTAAAGCCACTAAAACAATAACCTCCTTTTCAAAGACGTTGACCATTATCTGGGACTTTAGAAATCCTGAAAACGGCTCTCTTTTTCCAGAGAAATGGTGTATTGCCTTCTCCACAATTCCTAGTGTTAACAAGGCAGGCTAATTGGCTTTTTGGCAGAATAAACTTGTCTCAGATCTCTAGGTGAGCACAGAGATGGTCCAATGCTACGTTTATGCTAGCTGGGTGGGTATTCTGATGCTGTCATGGTCTTGTTCATTGCCAAGTATGATAAAGCAAATTCTTCATCTTAGTATCAACAAGGCAAACCCTTGTGCTTCTTCTGTGAAATAGCACAAAGAAAGGGTTAAAACTTTTTTTCCCTTTTTCTTCTTCTTATGAGAGGTGGTGACAGTTTATATGTATGTAACACCTCCTCAGCCCTTCAGCACACCCTCCTAACCATGCTTAAATTCAGGCCTATTCCTGCTCCACTTTTTAATATTTGATTCAATAGGAAAATGAGAGTAGGCCTTTATCCAAATCCCTCTGGAGTTATTTCCAAGGATCTGGATGCTCTGTGCTGATGAAAGGCATTACTGAAATACTGATAATAGTGTTCACTGATGTTCAGAGATTTGTTGATTCAGAGAGTGAGATGGAACCATTTAAAAAACCTGAATATTACATGAATGAGGGATAGGAGGAAACTGCAATTCATTCTTCTGGCTTAAGAACAAGGCAGTGCAAGGTCATGTAAAAGCATTTAAAAAGAAAAATCAACTTGGGGTATCATCCATATAGTTTTTCACCTCCAGCTTCATCAACCTTATTTTTCCCAACCTATTTTCTTAAATCAGGATCGCAAAGCCCTTCTTCTTCCTATTCATAAACTGTCATCCAAGAAACAATAGGAGAATGTCCATGGTCATGCTGTTAATTGGTTTGTTTATGCTGCCCGGCTGGCTGGGGGCAGAGAACTCTGCTGGCATTCTCTGAAATTCATTTAGGGTTTGCAATGTTCAGACCTTCCTTTTAATATTTTTTTTAAATAGGTTTGTTTTCTTAGACTGTCCTTGGGCAAGTTACACCCACACTTTCAAAGTCTGCATTCACATTTTATATGATGTGCATTTAAGTTACAATCACAAGTCTCGGAACATATATCTCTTGCTGCATAGAAAAAGAACGAACCTGTTCAGATTATGTGAATTATTTTAAAGATTAAGTGTTGAGCTTTGAACACTGAAGCTGTTCACAGAAAAAAAAAATCACCACTCCCTTTTCACATTTTGTTTGAAAAATAATAATAGTTTTCAAATTGTCCAAAAGGAGCTCTTGAATAAAATACTTTCTAATTACAAATGTAAAATTGCACTGTTAAAATTAGCACAAAGGATCATGGAACTCTGAAAAAAAGAACTGAAAAAATTTTGGTTTAGCTTTTTGACATGTAAAAATTTGACAGCTGATTTGACTGCTTCCCCTGAATATTCCCAGGCAATGGGGAAAAATACTTCTGCACAGAACCTGCTGCAGGAAAGCAGAGAAGCTGACTGGTGTGAGCCACAGAGGCAGTGGTGTCCTGGTGGATGACCATGGTCTGTTCTGTCCATTTACCAAGACTGCTGCCTGAAACAACTTCTGAGTTGTCACATTGGTAGACCAATATGTAGAGATAGATGGTGACTTCAGTGGCCACGGACCCACCTCTAAGACTGCCAGGCCCTTGTAGGACTCCAGGTAAACTACTCGGTGGGATTAATTTGATCACATTCTGGTGTCTGTGTTGTAGATATCTGAAGCTGGGTGAAGTGAAACCCAGATCCATTTTCTCTAGGTCTCAGCCACTGGCCAGCCCACACACATAAGAAGCAGTCCAACGTCCAGATCAAAGCCTCATCTCGGTAGAAGTTACTACCTACAGTTAGTAATAGGACCTGTAAAATAAGGGCTGAAACAGTAGCACCTGTAACAATGCACCTATGTGAATCAGAAAGACTGTTACTGCAATAGTAGCTATATATTATATTTGGAAACAGGAGATTATTATAATCTATAAAAAAATAATCATAGGAGGTCTCGAGATATCTCAGAAATTACATGTTAGCTACCTGCTGACCCATTTTCCACAAGAAAAACAGAATGCAAAGTTTTATAATACTATGAAAATAAATCAGCTACTTTCATTTTGTAATCTGTGCAACTATTGAGCCAACCTGTGTGAACTGTCTAGAGTAATATGTAAATAAGTTCACATAGGAACTGTGAATTTCCAGAGCAACTTTGAAGAATTTAGAAATGTTTTTGCATTGTCAGTCTTAAAATAAATGTGAAGTATTGAATAATTTTTTTTTATCACAACAAAATCTTCTTCACAAAAGCAGCAGAAAAACTCTGTCAAAACCCAGTGCTAGTAGTAGATACCACATTTATAAAACTGAAAGTTATTCAGGGTAGGAAGCAACAAGAACCACTTAGAGTTCATCAAAAGCAGCCTTGCTTCCAGAAGGGAACAACCCCAATACTGGCACAGGCCAGGGACTGGCTCCTTAGGTTATCAGGGGATCCTTGCAGATAAGGCTGCTGAAAGCTAACCCCTAACCTCCTTTTGGGTTGCATTAACAAAAGCATAGCCATGAGGTCAAGGAAAATACACTGAGAGTGGGTATGCACTGGAACAGGGCCAAGAGACATCAGATCTCCATCTTTTGAGATATACCTAACTCACCTGGACAAGGTCCTGAGCACTGTGCTCTGACTTTGAAGTCAACCCTGCTTTGACTAGGAAGTTAGGCAAAGATGATATCCAGAAGCCTTTTCCTGCCTATTTTTTTTTCTGTGATTCTGTTCTTGGGGAGTTTTGATAAATCAACCACAGGAGTATTTTACTAATGGCAAATTAAATAACTTCTTCCATTCCCCCAACATGGTGCACAGTCCTTTTTGTGGTACAGAAAGCATGAACCTTACTAAATAAACCAAAACAGTTCTCAGATATCTAGTTAATTTAGACATCAAGTGGGTTGTCTAACATGCTTATGTTTGGCTGGGTTTTTTTAAACAGATGAAATCTTGGCTCTAACAGCAAATGTCTGACAGGTCAAGAAACCACTTTTATCCCCTATTGCTCAATTCTTTTGCTCGCAACATGTTCTCTTCTAATTGCGATTTTGAACTACCACAACCTTGACTCCTCCCACTTAAAGCCTGCACTCCAGCAGTTCAGGGAATCCTGGGAGTACCAGTGGGGACCCAGAATTCACTGCTTATTGGGAAAATTGTGATCATTTATTCCCAGCAGCACTTTGCCCATCAGGCTTTCACTGTCAGGAAAGCTGTCCCAGTGCTTAGCTTGATTTAACCTCAGGGCATTTTAGACATGTTTGGGGAAATTAGACTTATTTTTTTTTTGTCTATAGCTTTTGAGGATACAGCTCCCTGGCCACCAACACTGGCTCAGCACATTCAGCAGAAAATGTGACATGGACAAACAGTTGATTCCGATGTAGATCACAGTGGGAGTCTACACTGATTTTGAAGTCCATACACCCGTTTTTATAGAATCATAGAATAGTTAGGGTTGGAAAGGACCTTAAGATCATCTAGTTCCAACCCCCCTGCCATGGGCAGGGACACCTCACACTAAACCATGTCACCCAAGGCTCTGTCCAACCTGGCCTTGGAATGGCCTTATGCTGCCTGCTAATTCCATTTAACCTGAGAGTTAACCAAGAGAGATTTCCATGAGCAGATCCGAAACAGTGCACTGGGATTTATTCCATGATGCCGCTTTGTGTCATGAGACCAAGGTTTATGGCATCACAGAAACATGGTTTCAGTTAAAGGACAAACACTTTTCAGTAACAGGTCATTTTCCCACATACAGGCTTTTGTTTTCAAGAAACAAGACAG